GATTTGCAAAATCCACTCTATTCAAGTGAGTGGAGAGGGGGCTACAGGGGAAGGAGCCATGTGGGCTGTGGCCAGAGCCTTGTCAGAGGTAGAAAACTTCTTGGGGCACAGAGAGCCTGTGGTGGCAGGGGGAAGGTGAACGATACAGCCAGCCCGGACATCAGTCTCTCACAGCAAAGATTGACATCAGTGTTTCCAAACAACTCACCATCTAATTTGTACTTATGCAGAAGAGCCATCCCATAACACAAATCATCAAGCAATTAACATGCAACACTTCAGCGAGACTCTCCGTTGCTTGTTGTTGAACTATCTTCAATGCCATTAATGAGAGCTAATTAAATCAATCAAGTCACCACCGTACTCAAACACGACTGCAGTTACTGAACCGGTATCAGACCGGGAGTGTTTTCTTAGGCACTGTAAATATCAAGATGCACATTTATCATGCTGTCCTTCCAGCATACATCTGCTCTCACTGCTGCGCGCTCCATTTATCATATGTTGTCACTGTCCCTACCCCCAATACATCTAGGTGTCAATTAATTCTTCCCCGTGCAGCTCAAGTGCATCCCACTGAATAATCTCTATCTTAATATGTATCCACAAGCTCTCCTTAGAGGGGAGCAGCAACGATAAGCCACATCCCCCAAATTACATGACTGTGACCATAACCTCTCCATCTCTATACTGTGAGTTATTAAAACCTCAAACCACCTCCACACACGTGGGTATTCTGCAGGGGAAGTGATGGCAGTTTTGACTCCCTTCTTCCCCCACCAGGCAGTAGATTTGCAGCATAATTCAACAAAACAAACTTTTGTGAGAAGAGTTTCCAGGCAAACCCTTCAAGCAGGTAATTTCAAAATGCTTTTAAGAATTATGAGTATTCAAATAACAGATTTATCCCAATATCTGTAATATTAGGCAATGACATTTCTGCTGCACCACCAGCCCATGTTCCTACCGCTCTGTTACTATAAGCATACAGGGGAACGATAGTCTTTTTCTAAAAAGGAGAATCATCTCTCATTATATTATAACATTTGGTCTCTATTTATGTTTCTGCTCTGTCTGGCTAACTCTCCTTTTTATTTACAAATCAGCTATATTAATGTGCTTTAATTTTAACACTGGTTGTTTATTTTACAGATAAATCAGTTGGCAAAGGGAAAAAAAGCACACCCTAACAGAAAGCAGCACCAGCTCTGACACTATATATACATTTGTCTTTGCTCAATAGTAGACTTAAAATTAATGTTTTTTTTTAACTTCAAGACATTCCTGGTGGTGTTTTCTGTGCCTTAATGATAAAAATACTGCCTTACAGCTCAGAGGGAGCAGCTAACTAATGCACCATTCATTTCTTGGGCACCGCTTAGCCATAGAAATTCATCCCCTGCCCTGCCAAAACTGAGAAGAGAGATGGGGTGAAGTCCTTATGCGTGTCCCAGACAGAGGGACATGCACAGGAACCCACACACAGAAGAGGGGCCCCTGTGAAGAGCTGCAAGTAAACCCTACTCAAGACACCAAACAAAAGCAGTTATAGAAAGAACACCTTGTTAGAGATAGCAACAGCAAGTAGCAAGGTAGGGATTTTATCAAAGTGTGTAATTCCTAGATGAATTTACAGGTGGGTTTGCCCTGGCTGTGCAGCCACACGAGGAATAACAGGTACAGAATCCTTGTGCCTTGATTTCTCTGAACACATTTCCCTGGGGAAAAAGGAGAGAGATGCTTCAAATAAACTGCATTACACTGGCATGAGGCAGACCGTGGCTGAACAGGAGATCAGTTCTTCCCCCTCGGTCTAAAAGGCTTTCACAGCCTCGTCTGAACACAGCCAAAGGAATAATAACTTGGGTCAGTATTATTATTATGACTGTACATAATGTCCCAGCAGAGATTAATGCCGGGGAATCCCTTTTCACCCCTTATCCAGCTGCAGAAGTACCCAACAGGTGAAATTGAGGCCTTCTGATGGTAGATGACAGCCATAGTCATTGCCATACACAAAACGCAAGCAGCAGTTTCAGCCTGTGTGGTCTCTCTGAGTGCAAAGAACAAGAGTTTCTTTCTTTCTTTCTTTCCTTCCCCCAAACTTAATTTCTTCTACCCCTAAGCAAAGAAAGCTAAAGATGCTGCAGAAGAGACTGGCAGAGCACGTACCTACTTCAGCATTGCTACCCACAGAGCATCAGCTAAGCCTGCATTAGGAAAGCATTCAGGAGAGCTGATTAATTACATGGAAAAATCTCAAAGACAATGTGGAAAACGCAATACATTTACAATACTTGGTTATTCTGCATTTTGCATTCTCTTAACGCTTCTCCTAATGTTCATGTCCAGGCACACGTTTTCTATCATGAAAGTCACATGGGGAGAACAATCCTCCCCCCTTGCAGCAATGACCACAGAGACAGTGACCAAAACCCAAGTGCTATATCTCACAGAGAAACATCAGTCCTGACCCCATTGCATTGGTGAGCTCATCAACCCCTAACACAAGTTCCTCCTGCAGCTTTGTGTCCTGCTGCGCCAAGTTTAAGGCCAGGGTAGACTTGTTTATTGAATAAATACACATGACTGCATAGGTTTTTCCAACTTCAGAGAGGATCAATTAAATTCTTTATGTAGAGGAAAGAGTCTGATGAAATTCTTAGTTTAATCCACCCAATATCATTCAGTTGAGTAAATTCATGCGGCTAAAAGCATTGCGGCAGTTAGAAGCATTTCATCAGGCGCATACACATAATTTTGGTGACAAAGTGATTTTTATCAACAAAATACTGCCTGGCACACGTACAGAAGCTTGTTTAGCAGTGAGTGAGTACACAGCAAAAGCAGGAATCAGATCCTGAAGATTATGCAGTTATAAAAAGAGAGAGAAATTATCTGTTTGTGCCAGACTGTGGGAAACAGTTTACATGAAAGGAGAGGGAGTTTACAAGGCAACACCAGCTTCCTATGAGCCTTCAACATAAGTGTAAATCAAATCACCGACACAGAGCCACGGTCACATTGCATGGGTGTTTCGTTTCCTACTCTGCTTTTGATCCTACAGTCAGTAGGTCTGTTTAATGTGTTAATTGCAAACTCCTCTGGTCTTTGTCCAACATTTCTTCTGTTTATTGGTGTGTCTGGCATCAGAAACATGCAAATAAGGCAACAAAACTCTTCTGCCTGTTGCGGATCATCATGCCTTTATGTAGTCTGCTTTGAAAGACCATCAGCAGCTGAACTTTGGCCCCAGGTCTGCAACCCTGTCGATATTGCAAGTAAAATCCCACTCAGCTCCATGCATAGGATCTGACAGTCATGGGAGGAGTATTGCAGCCCCTTCGCTGGTCTGGATCCCAAACAAGGAAGGACAAACGGTGTAGCTGAGCAATAGCTCAACAGTCTTGGCTCCGGACTTTCTCAAGGTCTACTGTTCCCAATTTGAAATGCAGTCACTGAAGAGACTGATTTACTTTTCTGATCAACTTAAACAAGGTGCTTTGTTAAGTCAGAGCCTAAATCACATCGTAAGACTGGAGAAGCCATTGGCACCACCTCAGGGTACTTGAGTGGTATTGCTGTCAGGGGCAAGATCAGAATCTGTGCCAATATTAGTATCTGCACTCATCTAACAGAAAACCTATTGCTTTAGTCTATACAACAATAGACTTGCATTTCACAGGCTTGGTTCATGGCAGTTCTCACTAACACATCGATAAATGAATGATTTTAGGCATAAGAGACAACAGGAGATGTGTTTGAAGGAGGCAAGGACCAAGAATCATGGGCAAGTCACAGTGGGGAGCTGGGTGCTGCGTGAAGTAATCCACGAGTGTAGGGGAAAGAGGAAAAAGCACAAAGGAGGATACAGCTGGTCAGTGCTAAGGAAGCCGAGCTGTAAGGGGTAACACATGCAGGAGCAAGGAAAGGAGTTTCCTACAGCAAAAAGGGAGCGCACACCAATACAAACACACAAAAAGGAGTGCAGCTTATGGCAGAGAACAGAGCTGCTGATCATCATCTGTCCTTGGGAGATGCCTGCAGACAGAGGGAGGAGGAAGCCTTGAATCAGCTTTATTTATTTGTGGAAGTGATTTTTACTTCCAACTGTGCAGAGCTGCAGCAGGAACCCCCAGCTGGGGAGAGGCCATGCAGGGCACATCGGTATTTGCACACCCGAGTCAAAGTGAAGCTGCTTATTCTGAGGCTTCAGGGTGGTACAGAAATGCTTTTCTTTCCAGCTCCCAGAGGTCAATGGAGCAGGACGGGGAAGCTTCCAGAGAAGCAAGAATACATCCTTCAGTAGGTCTCAAACCCTTGCTTGTGACATGAAAATGGGGCCTATAAGGATGCTGGGGAGGGACTCTTCGTTAGGGACTAGTGGCAGGACAAGGGGCAATGGGTTAAAACTTAAACAGGGAAAGATCAGGTTAGATACAAGGAAGAAGTTCTTTACAGTGAGGGTGGTGAGGCACTGGAATGGGTTGCCCAGGGAAGCTGTGACTGCTCCATCCCTGGCAGTGTTTGGCCAGGCTGGATGGAGTCCTGGGTGACATGGTTTAGTTTGAGGTGTCCCTGCCCATGGCAGGGGGATTGGAACTGGATGATCTTCAGGTCCTTTCCAACCCTAACTATTCTATGATTCTGTGAAAGGATATTAAGGTTTCTACAGGAGTTAGGAGGCAAGTTTTGCCTATCTCCTGCTGAGAAACACCTTGCCATGCCCCCCAGGACTTCCCTTTTTCTTCTAAGTTTTGCAGTACCATAACAGCACTAGTAAGCAACACATCTCTTCCAGTAAACCTTCTCTTTTGTAACTGCATTAGGTTCTTCAACACAATCTTGAAGCCTTTGAGCTGTACCTGCAGTTAGGAGTTTGCAAGGGGAGCTGAAGTGCTCCGACAGGAGAAGCTTCAGCAACAAGCCCTGATTTTCACACCGGTCCAATTGGAGATGCACATCTGGCAGCAGAGTTTACATACCTGGGTAATGACTGGCCAGAAGAGAAATTGAATTAGTCTCATCCTTCTTCCTTTGTGGCAGCACTTCATCTGAAGTGGTAATAAAGAATAATCTCATCAACTAGCCACTGGCCACCAGTGTAATTTGTCTGCTATCGATCTGCAGTGTGATTTAATGGGGTGGAAAAGCAGGTACAGGAGAGATAATTCTGTCCCTCTCTAGGTTAAGCTGGACTTTCCCAAGTCTCACCTCCTGATGGGCTCCACTGGCCCTATCTTGCTCCCTCCATGTAACACCCATGGGTGCCCAGCTCAGGCCCTGCACACACATTTCACCCCCTGGTGCCCCAGAGCGCAAAGTCCCCAGGCCTTTCAAGAAGGAGAAATGGTTCAAATCGGTGCTCAGCTGCTGAACCCGAGAGCCTGCAGGCTTAATCTCAACCTCCCACAAAAGAGGAAGAGGTTTAACATCCATCAGGTTCTCACACCCAAACATTTGCCTTGGGAAAAGGCATTGCACTTGCTCTGCTGGCTGACATTTGGTTTCTCTACACCAACAATTGAAAGCTGAAGCTTCCCCACAAAACACCTGGAGATTTATGACTATTGTCATCAACAGGAACTGTAAAATTAAAACACAAGAACCCCCCCCATCCATAAACCAGCTCTGCCTAAACCATGCAAAAGCCATAAAAAGGAGCCGCACGCACCAACCCATAAATCCCAGCTGTCCCGTTCCACTGGCTTAATACCAAGTGATAAAGATGCCCCAGAATTCATATGGCTGCCAGTGTTTCCCTCCCCCTCACCTCGCTGATGTTATACATAAATAACACCACAATGATCTCATTTGAGTCCCTTAACCAGCAGAAGCCAGTTCTAGGAGCCCCAGCCAGTCTAGCTGGAGCGACTCACAGTGAGCTTTGATTGAAGCTGACTATTAGTGGAGACAATTAAGATGCCGTTTCAGTTTAAAGATGAATTGGCTGTGCAGCAGACAAATAGTGAATGCTTATTGCTGCCACGCTGAGGCAGGTAATCAGGGAATGAAGCTGTAATTGTGGCACCTCTTGTTTTGCTTCTGCTGGAGCGCAAGAACGCGAGATTCAATTTAACAAACAATTTGCCACAGGGCTCATGCCTGCTGGGTGGGAAAGCAAAGCTTGCTGGCAAGGCTCCCTTGGAGTTTTGCTCCTTTTTAAGCCTGTTATAAGCAAACCTGGCACTTGCTTTAACCTTTGCACCAAAGCAGAAAGGAAGAGGAGAAAGGCAGGAGCATCACTGATGTTTTGAGAGCGTATCTTGGGCTTCATCCAGAGATGATAAAAACCACACACATGTGGTGGAAAGTGTCATCATTCTCTTGATGCCTTTTGGGTCTTTGCAAGCTTCTCTGGAGAAACTAAAGGGCAGCCGGGCCAGCATCCTGGAGCAGCAAACATAGACATGTGCAAGCAGGGAGAGATTTATATACGCTGAGAGTTGCTCTCCCTTTGCAGGAGATTCAAGCTGGAGATGCTGGGTGATCTTTAGGCCAATTGTCCTTTCCCCTGCCCCACCAAGGGAGGGAAGGATGAACTGAAAAAGTTGTTACATATAGATCAAGCAGCTCCTCAGCAGCCTGCCTCTGTCCTGCTGTAAGGGAAGGAGTGTGGAGACACTCTGCAGAGCTTAAGGGGCTGGCATTTAGAGGACTCCAAAAGATGTTAGTGCAGAGATTTCCTGGACCAGACTCACAGAGCAGGGCTTTCTTGGCTTCATTACCTCTGTCTGGGATCCATCCTTGCATACAAGCACTGCCTCTAAGTTTCTAGTCTGGACTCAGCTCCTCCAACAAGGCCAAGTCCATATGTATTACAGCCAGTCTTTACGCATCCTTCCTGCTTCACTGCTGTTAGGGATTCATAATTGAGCAAGTGACTTATATAGAATAAGATCCTTGAGATTCAAAGGTTTTATCTTTTTAAGGCTAAACGTGCTTAGTGACATGCTTTAGTGGTAGACTTGGAAGTGCTTAGGCAAAAGTTGAACTTGATGATCTTAAAGGTCACAGTATCACAGTATGCTGGAGATTGGAAGGGACCTCAAAAGATCATCTAGTCCAATCCCCCTGCCAGAGCAGGAACACCTAGATAATGTTACACAGGAATGTGTCCAGGCGGGCTTTGAATGTCTCCAGGGAAGGAGACTCCACAACCTCCCTGGGCAGCCTGTTCCAGTGTTCCGTCACCCTCACTGAGAAGAAGTTCCTTCTCAAGTTTAAGTGGAACCTCTTGTGTTCCAGTTTGTACCCATTACCCCTTGTCCTATCATTGTTTGCCACTGAGTAGAGCCTGGCTCCATCCTCGTGACACTCCCCCTTTATATATTTATAGACACTAATAAGGTCACCCCTCAGTCTCCTCTAAACTATAAAGACCCAGCTCCCTCAGTCTTTCCTCATAAGGGAGATGCTCCACTCCCTTAATCATCTTTGTTGCCCTGCGCTGGACTCTCTCCAGCAGCTCCCTGTCCTTCTTGAACTGAGGGGCCCAGAACTGGACACAATATTCCAGATGGGGTCTCACCAGGGCAGAGTAGAGGGGAAGGAGGACCTCTCTCGACCTACTAACCACCGCCCTTCTAATACATCCCAGGATGCCATTGGCCTTCTTGGCCACAAGGGCACAGTGTTGGCTCATGGTCATCCTGTCGTCCACTAGGACCCCCAGGTCCCTCTCCCCTACACTGCTCTCTAACAGGTCGTTCCCCAACCTATACTGGAACCTGGGGTTGTTCCTGCCCAGATGCAGGACTCTACACTTTCCCTTGTTATATTTCATCCCGTTATTCCCTGCCCAACTCTCCAGCCTGTCCAGGTCTCGCTGGATGGCAGCACAGCCTTCTGGCGTGTCAGCCACTCCTCCCAGCTTAGTGTCATCAGCAAACTTGCTGATAGTACACTCAATTCCCTCATCTAAATCATTGATGAATATATTAAATAATACCGGTCTTTTCTAACCTAGTTGATTCTATATTTTGAGATCTCAGAATCAACCAGGACCTTGTTACTTCTTCAGGATGCAGACACTGGCACAACTCTTTTGGTCAAAAGAAGGACAAAGAAAGCTGTCCTTTGGTTGCTAGTCTGGCCTAGCTCAGAAAATGAGGACATCAGAGAGATCTTTTCCTTTCAATCAATTTGTCTTTGGAAGTGGCTCTCTTTCTCCTCCCCACAAACATACAGGAATTAGAGAACATCAGAGAGCACAGAGGAACATTTAGTGGTTGGTAACTAGAAAGGCTCAACAGAAACCTTAAAGCAAAACAAAATGCAAACAAAAGAGACAAAGCACCCTCAGTCTTCTGAAGTGCTGCTGGTCGCAGTCCTCAGTGAAGACATTTTCTTGCCTACAAGTACAATAAGGGACTCACCATCAGTCGGATCCTGTTCTTCACTCATCAGCCTTGGAAAAACCCTGGGACTGCCAGCAGCAAATTTAATGGGACTTCAGTCAAGTGCAACCTAAAGGGAAGAAAATCTCATCTAATTAAAGTTCAGAGTTTGGATGGAGACAGCTGTCAATGCCAAGAGCTGTGTGCTCTGGCAAAGCAAGAGGCAGAGAAGCACAAACAAATACTTCATAGTTCATACATCAGCAGCACTGAGTACTTGAGGAAGGTTGAGGGTGTTGAAAGGGAATGATCTCCACACTGGTGAAAGTTCACGTCTAACACCTCCAGCCACCAGCCAGCCTGGCCTTCTTACAGAGCTTTCCCTTGCTCACATGTCTTGCAGAGACTCAGCCCTGACCAAGAAGGGATATCCATTACAGGGTTATCATTCTGAGGCAAGATGAAGCCTTTTTATTGATCCTTATTAAATAACCACCATTGCACCATGAGGTCTAGCTTGCTGCTCCATCATCATGGAGCTGAGGCAGATGCCCTGGAGCGGCATGATAGACTACAGAAAACCAGGACTAAACTTACTCTTAAGTAGCTCTCTCACCTCTCCCAGCTGAATAAGAATGCATCTTGTTCTTTCAGACAAACTAGTCACGGGTTTCTATTTAAAGGACATGAGAATGAACAGCAAAGAAGCATTTGGACTCATCCCAGTGCATATACGGAATTCAAAGCTTTTGGGCTGGTCAAGAGTTTCAGGTGTGCTGATCTTAGTGTGAAGACTGCACTTTGAGGCAGCTCCACAACTCAAGCCCTCAGTATCCCTTGTACTGCAGGAGCTATTTAGCACCTGCACAAGGAAAGGTAACTGGCTTGGCTTGTAATCCCTGTGTGCCCCTTGACAGCAGAACCTGCTCCCTGACCAAAGGTTGAGAGCTGTGAGTTTATGTTACTGGGAAGGAAGGGGACAGATGTGGCAACTCCTTCAGGCTGCCCCAGGCACCTAATGCAGGGGCATATTACAAGGAAAAGAGGTGTATGTGTCCCAAAAGGTACCTATCTCCAATGCCCAAGATGGCTAGAGATAAACACTGCAAGTGTCTTTCCCTTCTGACTCAAGTAGGTCATGTTCACTGCTCTGCTATACACCTGGGCAGGGAAATCAGGCAGAGAAAGGTCAAATACCTCACCTTGTAAATGCTTGCATGAATGCTTAATCTCTCTCCTGTGAGCAGTCTCACCAGCTCCAATGCAACTGTAGATATTTCATAAAGAAGAGGAAAGATTTCTAACTCACTACCTGCCTCTGAGGGGATTTGAGGAGTCAGGGGGCAGAGATCCCAGATCCTCATCCAAGCCAAACCCCAGTTTGCACCATTCTTCTGCAGCATAATTCAAGCATCAAGCCTGATGTGACCATCTCTACCACCACCATGGTTTTAGCTATACAAAGCTCTGCCAGAGCTGACTCCCTCTGGCTTTAACACACAGAAGGTTATACTCACATTTCCTGGCAAACCACTCCTATTATCTTAGGACCCAGACACAGCACACAATGCTCTCTGGTCCAATAAACCATAAACTCTATTACAGCAAAGTGGAAAATGCTAAAACCACCCCAAACAAAGCAACCACACAACAAAAACACACAAACAAAACCAACCTCCTCCCCATAAGGGCAGTGGGTCTCCAGGCTTTATACCATATTCCTTCCACCCAGAAAAAAGCCTGGAACGTTCCAACCCATCAGCTGAGGCCACTTGAGTCTTCTAATGAGACAGATTGGGCAGCCCTGAGCCCACCCCTAGCTTCACCTCCCCGTACCTTGGCCAGCTGCTGAGTGATTTGGGAGCCCCTCAGCATCCTCAGTGAGTTGAAGCCTTGAAAGGGAACACCATCAATCAGCCATCACTTCTGAATGGAAACCTCTCTAAGGATGCACCCACTGGTGCTGCCCCTTCAAGACTCATGGGGTCACAAGAGGGACCCCCAGGGCTAGGTCTGCAAAAAGCTGTTGGGCATCACTACAAGTGAAATTTGTGCCCTGGTTGGAGCAAGGGTACTTCAAGCTGCTCAAGTTCCTCGTGTCATGGATACTTGAGCCCTGGTAAACCATAACTCACTGTTCTTATCTTCTTGGGGCAGGGGACAAAGTCATACAGAAAATGTTAACTATAAACGCCTTTATTTGGAAACAAATACATATGTTACTGCACTAAATTAAGTCTGCTAAGGAGATGGAAATTAGATCATTTAAAAGCAGAGAGCTCTTTCACATTGTTTCAGCAGAATCATCTCTTTTGTTGCCAGGCAAGGGGCTCATTTGGGGGGAAAACAAACACATCTTTTACGATTATGGCCATTCAAAGCAGTTTCTTGCACTCTAAATTGTCTAACATGAAGGATCAATGGTGTCCTCAGATGACGGTTTAATTAAAAACTCCGCCTTTCTTCCAGTTGAGATCTGCAAAACAGCTCTGGATGGCTGATGGATGGTTTGCCATTGCCTTGCCTCCCTGCTTCTGGGTGTTTTATTCAGACTTTTAATTGCTGCCATTTGAGGATTATTGATTAACTGTAATTGCTCTTTTTCTCAGGCATCTCCCTAGTTATCTCCAGCTATGTGGTCTAGGCAAAAGATGAAAGCAGAGAGCTTTAGAACCAGTAATGGCTTTTCTTGTCTGTTAATGAAGATATAGATAGCTTGATTATGCGTGTGTTCGACTCCTGTGCCTGGACCCTGCATTGGCTTGAACTTGAAAGTGGATCAGCTTGCAAATTCTTTTTCTTTAAGGAAAACACAATAAACCCCCCCCCCCCCAAACCTTTATATAGTCCAGTCACATTAGACAGAAACTAGACCGATGAACTCTTTACACTCCAGAGTTTCCTGCCTTTCAGGCCAGGCAAAGGGAGCACAGTTACTCCTCCTCCTGTACCTTTGTATTTCAGGTACGTTTAAGAGCTCACGTTTCAAAATGCAGGGCTACTGCACAGGGAGCATCACCTGCAACAGACATGAAGCTGCTCTTTGTTGTAGGTTTAAGGTCATGCTTTTAGTCAGAGGATTATGATCTCAGACTGCAGTGTTATTGGAAGGCAGGAAATAATCCTGTCAGAGTTGATCTGATAAACCTGGTGTACCTTAGTGTATAGATTGTGCAACTAAACCAAACCCCCACCCTGTGGCATTAATTCTTGAGCAATCACTTAGAAGCTGATTATCAGCTAAGTGGGAGTCCAGTACCAGAATCTGTTTAGAAATAAGTTTTAGATACTGCCTATGAGACTTAAATAACAACACTAATGAAATACAGTAATAGAAATTATCCCCTTTAATCTTCTTCCTTGGGGATGCCTGTGTCCCAGTCAGTGGGGAAGGCAGCACCATACTCAGCTCTACCCTGGATGCACCACTGCAGCCAGGTTCCATCATGCCATGGGAAATCCCTCTCATCCATGGACTTCATGGACATCCAAAGCCCTAAGAAAATGGGATACAGTAAGTGACAGCAGCAACTTTGGCACCTGCACCCTGCAATGAGCTCACCAACCCATTAACCTTTCCATGGTATAACCAGGCAGCCCACCACTTGTATATGATAGTGCTGGAAATGTAAATTAAAGGGTAGTAGGCAGCAAGGAGATGTACGAAGGGAATCATGGATATCTGATCTGGTTTAGACAAGGCAGCTTGGGTAGGCAGCTAATTGGGAGCCGAGGGAAACAGCTTTCCCGGCTGCAGGCAGCTTGCAGAGAAAGGAGGTATAGGGTTTCTGCATGAAGAAGCTGAGTGCTAAATTGAGTATGGTATTGATGGCAAATGCATTTCATCATCACATTATGTATGTATATATAAAAAATACAGCAGCGAAAAAGAAAAATAAGAATTTATCAAGCTTTCTGTGCCTTTTCTGAATTTTCTAGGGAATGTTTTCTATCAGTGCAGAGGGAGAGACAGCGCAGGAGGGAATGCTTTCACTTAAATGTCAGCAGGCTGAAGCAATTCCCTTTCCTATGTTTTGTTCAATGAAAAAGAAATTAATGCTGAGACTTATTTAGTAAACAGCATAGTCAGGACAATGTTTTTGGTATCTACACATGAAAACAATTCTGATAGTTCTGCATTTTGAAGAAGAAGGCATTTATTCTGTACAAAACCCTAAAGATTCATCATTACTTACTGGGGTGACCTTCATTATTAAATCTCTGCTCTGCAGTGAGCAGTGGACACTCTTCAGGCACATGCTGGGAACTTCAGCTGCCTTTACCCTTGAGTTCTTCTTTAGTCTCACGAAGTAAGACTAACATCAAAACAAGGGAAAAAAAGATCATGAAAGGAATAAAGAAGTTCCCATGGGTACAGAAGACAACCTTAAGTGCTGGACCATCCAGTCAATGCAAGTCATACATTCGTTTAAGGACTGCAGAAACTTAAAGAATTAAGAGGGGAGAAATCCCACTTCTTTTGACAGTACAGCATCTTTTGAAAGGTTGTAACAGAGCAAACATGGTATAGAAATAGAGGGGCAAAGAGCAAGGTGGGAAGAAAGCAGTAAAGGATTTCATAGGTGAGCTCCACCTTGAAAGCTTGTCATAAATGTTATTTCAGTTAAATTAAAGGAAGTTTCTTGCAGTGCTTTAGCAAGTCCTCTTTTCCTTTGTTGTAATCTAAATATGTTTCAATAGGTCTTTTCTTTTTTTCATGTGATTAAAGGAGATTCACAGTAGAAAAATTTCAAAAGCACCTTATTTTAATAACATGTTCCCATTAAACTCAAAATTTCAGTATGAATCCCATTCCTTTGGAAGGCAATAGGTTTTTTACATTTGGCTTCAGTCAGACCATAGGATGATGGTGAAGTGGATGGACAGTGTATATGTGTATTGTGGATGTCTGTGTATCGACAGTAGAGAAGATAAAATGAACTCCTGGGTACCATTAGGGAAACCTGATCTGGTCCCACAAGCAGGGACAGGGAGAGACTTACTCACATTATCTCCATGTGCCCAAATCAAGAGCCAGATACACACGTAAGAGCAGTGACACAGAGCACTTACACTGGAACACTGACTGTATTAGACAAGCATCTTTATTTGATATATAAATCTAGATGATGGGAATACCCACGTGAGTGTGAAACTGATCCCTAGTGTAATGCATTTAAGGCAAGGGCATGCATTTGACCATCTGACTAAGCAATTTGAACACGTATTCACTGCTAACTGAAGTAATACATCAAACCTTGACTTGTTTCACCAATATGTGTGAAGGGAGAGCAGGCAGTCTGCAGCCACTAGGTGGGATAACAGCCTAGCAGGCAGCGTGGCTGGGAGATCAGTGCAACAGAGCCTGCACCCAGCCTTTGGCCAGCATCTCTTACAAGGGATGGGCAAGTCGAGCACCACGCTATGTGTTAAACCTGCCTTGGGCAGGGAGGAGATTTAGGAGACCGCAGCATCTCTTTAAATATTCATTAATGTTCTCTGTAATTGCTCTGTTCCCGTTCAAGTGGGTTTATAACTTGACTATTGCACAGGTCTGTAATTGAGCTTGACACATTTGTGAACATCCTAACAGGGATGGTTCAGAGCTCTTGCAAAAACTGTAGTGCTTTAGTAAAGGAAATGGGCAAAACTCTTGAAATCAAAGGGACTGGCTTAATTTTCATCAGAGGGATCTGACCTGGAGATTTTTGTGCTATGTTTTATGGAGTAAGAAAAAAAAAAAGAAACATGATATTTCCTCTTTAATATTTACAACACATCTTCCATGTACCTTCAACAGCAATGTTTATTAAAAATGCATTAATAGTTCTGTTTTGCTTCAGGCAGGGGGATCTTTCATAGGACAGGCAGCTTAATTTGGATCTTAACGATGATGATGTTCTGCCTCTGTTCCATGAATTAATGCAACTGAGAGATGAACTCCAGAGCCAAGATGTAAGAGCAGGAGTTTGGCTTTTGCACATAAATATGCTTAAGCAGAAAGCAAGAGCATTTTCTCCTCACAGCTTAAAGCAGCCCAGAAAGCTCCCCAAAAGAGCAAGAGGAAAGCCAGCCACTGAGTAGGAATAGAGAGACAAAATAAGGCTTAATATTAACACCATCACCCCCCTGGTTTGAGTATGTGAGTGGTTTTCTCACTCTGTTTTTTGCATATAGAGTTGCTGCATTCCTTTATTTTCCTTTGTACAAGTATATCTTGTACAAAGGAAAGAGGTGGTTATGCAAACCCACTTGCAGACCAAGTGATTGATTATCATCATGTCTAGTCTCTTCCAGAAGCCAATATGATGCCGCAGACCTTGCTTCCATTGATAGGTTGCCCTAAGAAAAATCCATATGGGCAATTAGGTTCCCAATATGAAGGGGCTTTGCACAGAGGCTTGCACGTGACTTTGCCAGGTAACAGAAAGTGATTTCTGCAGGTCAACTGTTTAGTAATAAATTGGGTATATATGTATGCAATACATGTTTGTATATACATAGTATTCTGAAAATGGCAAAGACGCTTGTTTGGCAAGAGGAGACTGAAAATGCCTCTTACATGAGTTAAGGATCGGGAATCTGTAATCCTTAAGGAAATGTAGGACTGAAATAGTAATGAATCCCATGCAAATCTCAAGCAAGAGGTACAATACCAAGACTAGCAGGTTTCTTCCACCCAAAATCCTCTCTCACAAAAGCAGCCTGAGGATACAGGGTTGCATAAGAAGTCAGGCTGGTGTGAATAGATCACTGTCATAACTACATTAATGATGAAAAATATTTTTGGGCATCATAGCATTGATTTCCCTTCTAATGAGAGCCTTACCTGCCTCTGCAACTGTAACAAAAACCATTATGGATCACCACGGAAAGAGCATTCTGGATGATCCAATTTGCCTTTCAATGCGCAGAAGAATTTGATTTTGTAGCATTTTCAAAAGGATTTGGAATTACAAAGCTAAATCAGAATTATTTTTATGTATGAGAGAAATACCCTACTGACCCAGGCCAGAAAACAAGCACGGATTAACAATTTTCAGCCTAAATAGCCACAACAAGCAAAAGTGTAACAGGAATGAATCATCATTAGATTTCAGAAGCTGCTACTGGCACTGGCTGCTGTTATCTCTCACTTTTAACAATCAGGCATTATAAGGGAGCTTGTACTTTGGAAAGTATCAACTCTCTCAAGAGTTACACTGACAAGTCAGGCTCTGCTGAAAATAGCAACCAGCAAGGGAAAGAAATGGGACATTTATTTTTCTTAGGTGTAGTTTGTTACAAATAGGGCATCACTGGAAATGCCTTCCATGTGTTCCATGCAGGGCACAGCTCAGCCTCTCTGCCTCCTCCTCACCACCACTTCTGTTCCTCCTTCCAACTTGCACCTTGTTAAGAGATCAGTTCAAGGTGCTCAGGTTTCCCTTGGGTTTAGGAGATCTCAGCCAAGTGTGGCAGCAAGGGCCTTTGACAGGCTGAAAAGTGACTTGTAGGTCTCGGAGGAAATCAGCCTCTGACATGAGACCTGAGCCTTTGGTGTTTGGCATCGTGCTTCCGCCCTGAGTGCATCTATTATTGTTCCATGGGCCCTGAAAGAGATGTCAGTCGCATGGCTGAAGGACAGAGGAGAGCTATAGGAACGAGAACCCTCTGGAGTGACACGGTTTCATGCTGTTTCTTTAATTTTTTGTCTGGCAAGTGAAATATCTTTCACCAGAAGGTGGGAAAGGACTTGGAACAAAATTGATCTTGGCTGAGCAAACATTTGACAACGTTCTGTGGGAAACAACCATCTGTCTTGGGAGATATCAACTCCAGGAGATATTGATGGCACTAAAAATATCTGCCTTAGTCCCCAGTCCCACGGCATTCGGTTTTCAAGCGTGGAGAGAGCTTCAATCCTTCAGCACTAAACCTTTTTATTTACTGTATTTTTGGAGTGTTCACTTGCCAGGTGTGCAGTGAAAGGCCCTGGTTTGTTCAAGATGCAGCCGCACACGTTTTGGTGCCTGGATCGAGTGGAAACTATAGAGGAGCTGCAAGAGAGATAATTAATATGGATTAAATGGGGAAAAGGGCTTTGTGCTCTGCTTCACAAGTACAGACCGTACACAGAGATGGATGTCTCTATCTCAGAAGAGCTGCCTGGACCCAGTTTGGCAGGCTGGTTTCTTCTGAGATACATGAGAGGAAAGGAAAAACACAGTCTTTGAAAGAAACTTTAAAAACGTTCTATGAATTCAAAACAGCTCTTCACAAAGAGGCTAATGCATTTATTGAAACTGAGAGGCAGCCTGCATCCCATGAATCATTAACATTTAGACCATTTCACCTTCCCTGTGTGGATAAAAGTCAAGATAATCCCAAGGTTTTCCATGGAGATGTGAAGAAGGGGCAGCCTAAATTCACCGATAAGTGTTCTGCACAGAAGCTGACATGTCTGTTTCATGCCTGTGATTTGCTGGTCTCCTGCAGTCCAGGCAGGTGCTTTTCTGTGGGCCTGTGAAGTAAGCAATAGTTATTTTTACCACAAACCGGAGGTCTTGCTACCAGGACATATTCCTCTTTGGAAGAGGCAGTCATTGGCCACCAGGGATCTCTGTGGGGTGTCAGAGACCAAAGCATTACAGATGAAAGCCTTGATCTCTAGTCCCATACCTGCTCCAGTGTCTTGCTCTCTCCATCTGTGATCAGTGCAAACTCTCCACCAAAGAGATGCCAACATCCACATCTTCCCCCAAAGACCTTCAGCTGCAGTAAGAACGAGGTGTAAGGTGTGTTTGAGATGCGTGTATTGCTGCTGCCCAGCAGAGTCAATAACAAGGGCCACAAACTCATGCCAAGAGCAAGAACAAACGATGCTTCCTGCTGACATCCCCCTGCCACCAGCAACAGCCCACCAGTGAACCCCAGAGCTTGATGTACTTTCTCCATGTTTAGTCTCTGCTACAGAGGACTTCTTTCTGTGGCCAATGTGACAAACCCATGGGAACCCACGCTGCTTTCCTTGCAGAAGAATGACTGCTCAGCGTAACCAAATGATTGAAAGGCAGGGACATGAAAAGGGGCAGGCTTACCAGAGCATAACTTTTCCTCATGATGAAGAAGGCTAAGATAAGCTAGACTGGCAATCACACTTTAATGATGATGATGATGATGATAATATCAATCCATGTTGAAGGCCTGTGGCTGAGTCTTCCTCAAAAGCTGACTTAAACGATACAAAAGAGCAAGAGATGTTAAAACCAATCAGTGATGGAGGAGAAAGATGCAATGACTGCTTCATCCGTATATACTCAGGTGGACAAGGAAAAGGGGGTGTTCCAGCAGTACAGAATAGATTGATAACAAAGAATTCCCATTTCTGGAGTAGCTGAGGGAAAAAAAAAAACAAAACAATATAAAAATGCTTTAGAAAACAGCAGCTTCATGGTCCTGGAATAGTGAATGCTACATGTGCGGGGAGAAAAGGAGTAGGGGCTTGCTTGCTGGGCAACTGGAGCAACCAGAACACTCTGGGGAGTGATAAAGATAACGGATCACAGCCAGGAAAGAAGTGAAAACACCTGAAAGAGAAGGGGAAGCAGGAGAAGGGATTTCTTCCTGTATGTACAGTGAGAGGAGACGAGACCAGGCTGATAGGATGCACACTTCTTTAATGATTTCTTTTTTTAGTTGGGTTTGTTTTTCATGACAGTTCTGAAATAGGATAAAGTACAGAGAAAGGCAATGCTGCATAATGTGGACAGGAAAAGGGAAGTGTTCAGCTTTTCCATTTAAATGCATGTAAATCTCTGTGAGGTCTGTGAGGGGGGGACACACATGAATTTAAAAGCATTGTGCTGAAGTAAACTATGACTCCAGTGACAGAACAGGCTCATTCTGAAGGCTCATAAGCACTTACTGAAATGATGAACTGTGCTAATAGTCCCAGGCTGTGTTTCAGGATGCTCAGTGTGGCATTGACTCAACAAACACATCAGACAGACAGAATTTAGCACCAGAAAGCCCTCTTTAGCTCTTCAGCAGTGTGACCACTGCTGTGCTCACAGGGACCTAGCTGCAGGGATGGGATGGATGCTACAGCTGTGGAATGGATGCCCATCCACAGTGAGCTCCAAGGTGGGTGTCCATGGGTGGTGTGACATACCAAACTGCTTCTGTAAGAGTCACTGCGCATATCCTGCTGATCCTCTCTGCCTTTTTCATCCCACTTTTTCCCTGACAGCCGCACTGCTCTGCAAGGCAAGGATGCAGCCGTTGCAAACTGGCCTCATGGAGAAATAAAGGAGGAATGGAAAAGCTGATAGATACAGGCCTGGACATACCCATGGAGGGAATAAGCAGCCCAGGTGTGGTGGTGGGAGCAAAGAGCATGTGCTTGGCTTCCTACTTAGTGGTGACACAAAAATCTCAGTCTGTGACACAGAGCTGGGGATGCTGCCACTCGCACTCTGGCTGCCTTCCTCCGTGTTTCATTGTGCAGGGTGACAAAGAGGAAGAAAACACTTGAGAGACACTGGATTGCTGCTCAGGGCTGGAAGTTATTGGTGGTGCCTTACCAATGGGAGATCTTGCTGCCTTTGAATCACCTTTCCCAGATGTCCAAACCCAAACACGTTCCTTTTTAGCATCTGAGGGAACACCATCATACCTCATGAAGCACAGGCTGGCCTGAAAGCTAAGGACATGAAAAGCAGGCCATTATAAATAAAAACCAATGACTCCATATCAAGCTCCTTATTCCCAGACCTTCAAAACCCAAATGAAGCCAATTAATGTAAAGAACCACATATGGTCACTAATAATACATACATTTCAGTTGTCCTGTGCAAGCCAAAGCATTTCTGCCACATCATCAAATGCATTTATATCTGTGCACTCTTTATTCAGTAACGATTTATTTATGTACAGTTATGGTGCACCCTGAAACACACAGCTAACTAATTAACTCATAGCCACCTGGAATGGCAATTAGCACAACAAAATCTGGAGCAAAAGCATAAGGCTGAGCATGGGATGTACATGCTTGAATCACTGAAGATAGTCAGTCTCAATGGTTTTAACTCATATAAGGAAAAAAACATGCATTTCAAGTTGAGGCTGTCCAGTGCTAACGGCAGGTCTGGAATATCAGGCTCTGACTGTGTGCAAGGCATAGGCTTAAGATCCCTTGGCCTTCAAGCCTGCGCAGTGGGATGTGCCTTTCAATATGCTATTAGAGTTAGACCAGAGAAAATACTGAGTCTTCTATCCCATGGAAGCATAGAATCATAGAATGGTTTGGGTGGAAAGAACCTTAAGATCATCCAGTTCCAACCCCCTGTCATGGGCAGGGGCACCTCACACTAAACCATGTCACCCAAGGCTCTGTCCAACCTGGCCTTGAGCACTGCCAGGGAAGGAGCATTCCTTCAGACAAACTTATTCTGCCAACAGATCATGGACTCGAGGTTTTTGTGATGGAGAACAACAGATCTTCATGGAACCACTGCACAGGAACCAAAGCAAAACCAAGTTAAATTTGGGTGAAAGACTTCATACTCTGTGTGCATATGCAAGAGGGCTGCTAAGTTGATAGAAAGCCTTCTGATATTGTAACTGCTGGACTTGAGGCTTCTAGTATTTCAGTATTTACCATCTTGCTTCTTTTGCTACGATGAAGAATCACAACGATTGGGCATTGCTTGTGTAACTCCACACTGTGCATTTGCTGCTGATCGGTGGGTTTACTCCTGCTAGAAACGTGGAGGTGGGCTACAAAAGACGAAGCATTTCCTACCTGCATTTAAGCTCCTTTGTGCCTGTTAAAGGGCTTTGCCAAAAATCAATGACAACCTGCCTGCTCCCATGCCTAATTGTCACAAATGTGTGAAAACAGAACTCGGCGCAGTTAGTAATTATCCCTTCATTATGCCGATGTGCTTCTGATAGAATAATCATGATCGGAAGACAGGTGAGTCTCCTCTTTCCGTTTTCTGTTTGCAATTTTAACTTCTTTTTCTGCTAGTAAGAATACTCTTTCTGTTTTAAAGAGACAACAACGAAACCCGCCTTTGGAAGCCTGTGCCTGTCCATGCAGCACTCAGTGACAGCGTGTCCCCTGACCCGAACAACCAGACTCGGCGGTAGCAAACAGCAGTGGAAATCACAGGCACATGAAAATGCTGGAGAGAAGGGCACATAAAAAGCATCTAAAGGTGAGTCTGAAAGAGAATTTGGTGCCCATCAAAGGTAGCTCAGAGTGTGCACATCATCCAGGGGCAATGCTCATTAGGATTAGTTAACTAGCAATTTCCTTCCTTGCTGGCTTTTAACCATTTGTTATTTATCATGCAGCCTAGTTTGCTCTGCAATAGACACTAAAAGGTTTAGGATAAGCAGCAGCAGTCACTCCAAGGAAGTAAACCTCATCACGTACCCTTCAGCTGGAAATCATAAACAACCCTGGAAACACATAGCTGACCCCTGAGGTGGGAGAGGAAAACCAAGAAGGCACCTTTCCTGATCCCTACAGAGGGAGCTGACAACAGCTATCCTTGATCTGCACATTACATGCAATGTAAATACATCTGTTCTTGCTAATCTTACAGTAAGTTTGATTCCAAATTTTGCCTTTACCTCCACAGCCTTTAAATTCATTCCTGTCTCTCCTCTTCTCCCTGTCTTTGAGGACAAGGGGTAACAGATTAAAACTTAAACAGGGGAAGTTTAGATTGGATATAAGGAGGAAATTCTTTCGTGTTAGGGTGGTGAGGCACTGGAATGGGTTGCCCAGGGAGGTTGTGAATGCTCCATCCCTGGCAGTGTTCAAGGCCAGGTTGGACAGAGCCATGGGTGACATGGTTTAGTGTGAGGTGTCCCTGCCCGTGGCAGGGGGTTGGAACTGGATGATCTTGAAGTCCTTTCCAACCCTAACTATTCTATGATTCTATGAGTCTATGACTGCCTGCTCTTGGCAGTCTCTTCCTCCTTTCCATACCATCCAAAAATGTTCATATTCCTCCTCAACTCTGTATTCATGCAGTCTTCTGTCCCATCATATCTAGCTATTCAGAGATATATTTGAGAAATAAAATAAATAAAATTAAGTTAATAAAACTTACAATCCTGGGAAAATATTTGCTTTGGATATGGTATAGAGAATTTAGGAAGCTGGGAACTCCCAGTTTCAGGAACTGGGGGACGGTTTTACCTGGTACAATGCCTTTTTTGCACTACTGACCAGAAAACGCTGGTCTGCCCCTGGACTGTTTATTCCAGAACTAGTGAGCACTGGCAGCTGTGCTGGAGAGTTTGAAAAGGACAAGTGATGCTTGTAATTTGTGTCCAGCTTATTTAGTAAGGCAGCAGAGGATTTAGGAATGAGCCCAGATTAATTAGAGAGTTATGTGCCATTTTACAGGACAGCAAAGCCAGTGTCTGACTGTCATTTTAGAGTGACTGAGCTGTGACTTCTGTACAAGCGAGCAATGATGCTGCTGGTGGAGGTGAGAACAGCCATGCACCCATTTGCAAGTGGTTGGAGGACTGGCCACCTCTCATGCAGAGCAAAGACAAATAGCATGGTTGTTTAATATTGAGTCTATTAAGCTCCTCATTCCTCTGGCAAATCCAGTTGATTTTCAGGACAATTAAACTGTTTGTGCCTCCATCCAGTCTGTTTGCTGCTGTTAAATTCCAAGGCAAAATGAGCTTCATTTAAAACAGCAGCACCAGTAATAGATAGTGCAGCTCTTTGTAATGAGATCCTCTCATCTCATTTGGTGACTTAACAGTGAGCAATCACAATAGTTAGCAATGCAGATAATGCCTAACTACTGACATCTGAGCCAGCAGACAGGGACAGGGCTTGCACATGAGAGGTGAAGTTTCAGGCTTCCTCAAAACTGAAGTCAGTCCCTTCCTGCACAAAGGCCAGCAGTCCCAAGACAGTGTCACTTTTGCCATCTCCCATCCAGAAAAGTCTCCCTTTGCACAACCACAAACCTTGGCAAATGAGCATGAATCCAAGCCCAAAGCTCTCACACAACAGTTTCTAGGAGTAATCCTTCGGTTCATGTTCTGCCATAGCAAGGGCATGCTGCTTTGTTCTGAGGGGCAGCCCTACAAGCACACGTAAGGATCTCTACAAGCATTTCTGCATGCCACTCTGGTGCTGTGTGTTTCTTCCATAGAATCACAGAATAGTTAGGGTTGGAAAGGACCTTAGGATCATCCAGTTCCAACCCCCCTGCCATGGGCAGGGACACCTCACACTAAACCATGTCACCCAAGGCTCTGTCCAACCTGGCCTTGAACACTGCCAGGGATGGAGCATTCACAACCTCCCTGGGCAACCCATTCCAGTACCTCACCCCCATAACAGGAAAGAATTTCCTCCTTATATCCAATCTAAACTTCCCCTGTTTAAGTTTTAATCTGTTACCCCTTGTCACTACAGTCCCTGATGAAGGGTCCCTCCCTATAGTTCCCCTTCAGATACTGGAAGGTTGCTATGAGGTCTTCCATCTCACCTTTTGTCACTGAAATTCGGGAGAATGCATCTTTCCGAACAAGAAAAATGAAAATCAAACTAATCCCCTATAGAGAAACCTGACCAGCACTTGGCATGCCACTGCACATGCATTTTCCCCAAGGGGAGGATGCAAAAGCAAACAAAACATGGCAGATGTTAGTCGTGGTGTTTAATGTGCTGTTGGAAGGTGCTCAGATCCTATAGAGATGAGAGCTCTGACGTCTACAATACAGAAGCCAAATACTTCAAGATGAGCTTTTCATGTTGCTCTGTTTTGAAATATTTCAAGATGATGTGGCACAGAAATAATTTCGGCAAGAACAGATTTTCCTAAGCAAGACAGAATGATAAAACATTACACTTCATGGTATACAGCTGAAATGACACTACCTCAAAAGACATCACCTCATGTGAAACAGACGATCAAAATTGATTTCTGATGTTTGATTTTTCCATCAAAATGTGGAGAAGATGAAGAACATTGCAGCAGAATTTCTCCAGATTGAAACACAGGCTGTCCTGCACGCACAGAGCTTCAGACATCACAAGTTGTCTCCATCTTTATAGAATCATAGAGTAGTTAGGGTTGGAAAGGACCTTAAGATCATCCAGTTCCAACCCTTCTGCTGTGGGCAGGGACACCTCACACTAAACTACGTCACCCAAGGTACACCCATGTCATCTTTTCCAGTCATTAACGGAGTAACTACCTCAGTTTGTATCTACACTGCAGTGACAGACATGGTTAAATTCTCAGATGTATTAAAGATTTCCTAAGCGAATGGAAAGGAGAATAAACCCATCTCAGTTTGTGCATGATGCATTACGTGATCATTTGACTTCAGGATGTTGGAGTTTGCTTTATCAGGATTTGACACTGTCTACTTGACTAAGCAGTAGCTCAAATTGAAAAGGTAACAAAAACACTGACAATGCCATGCCTGTGAGCTTCAAAACAGCACAAGGCTTGACTAATGGAACATGTTTTTTGCTCTTAAAGGAACTACTTACCCATTGCTTCATCTTCTGTTCACCAAGGATCATCCCATCACTTGCTTAGAGTTGTGGTGCATTTCTCTGTCCAGTAAAAGAATAAAATCATACAGATGGAATAAAAAGTTCCATGGCTTCTGCTTAAGGTGTCAGAGGTACCTTGTGGTTTCTGTACAAGGGCTCAATAAAGATACATTATGGAAGCAAGAGAGTAATAGCTGCCTACGCAGAAAAGGTTTGCAAAGGTGTGGGAAGTCAAACAAGAGCAAAATCCTCTCCTAAGGGAAGCAGTGACAGAGGCTGCTTTACACTTCTTGACTCCTGGTTCTGGTTCAAGCACAATGTCACAACCAATGTACATCCAATTGCTCTTCCTAGCCAGGGCTGTTATATCCCCAGGGAGAGAAATTGCACCCTGGGATGCAGGCAGCGGTTGCCTGGTGCCTCTTGCGCAGTGCCCTGCTGGAAAAGTCACAGCACAATCATCTCCCTGACGAATGTGGAGCCAGATCTAACCTGTGATGGGAATATCCTGAGGCTGTGCCAGGGACAAAGGGTGACACGACCAGAGCGGGCGTCCCCAGCGCTCGCCAAGGGCCTTGCTGCAATAAGCTCCATCTTCTGTGAGCTGCTGTACATGAGCTGTGGGAGAACTTTCCCTAAGGAGAGAGCCCACATCACTCTGGAATCCCATTCCTGTTGTAGCATCATACCCCACACCAGAGCGTAATTCCAGAGTAGGTACAATGCAGTACCACCAGCTGCTGATGTTAAAAAGCCCAACAGGACAACAACCCCCTAAATATAATGAAACAAGCTGCCAAACCCCAGGATGTTATTTAGATACTACAATACTCAGAAATTTTCTCATTATGAATCTTCTCTTACTGAAGCCTCTAGATTTCTCATTATGAATCTTCTCTTACTGAAGCCTCCAGCTTTTCTCTGGAAGCAGGGAAGCAAGAAAACTTGCCCTTTTCCCCCCTCTTTTATTCTTTTCCTGAAGGAAATGTGCCTGTTCTTCAAGTCATATATTGCATAAGGTACCCTTGGAAATCAGCAAGCAGATTTGCAGTAGCATTCAGGTTCCTTCTTCATGGTGAATTTAGGATTACAGGGAGCCAGGTATAACTTCATAAAAAATTAAAAGGAGGAGAAATAAGCAGTCAAAATTATCATGCAAAGTGGAAGCTGTATTTTTTAATGTGAATATTAATTCTACAGAAAAGAAGTAGAAGAAGTACCCTTAATAAAACAGTTTTCTCTTTTAACCAAAGACATAATTAAAACAAGCTCTTCGAAATAAATCCCCACCAAATATACCTGACAAAATATCCAAGGGAATTCTTTCCTCTTCCTACTCTTCTGTTGTCACATCTGTGGGGATATCTGTGCTGTTTCTTGCGATATATTTCAGGTAGCCTGGAAGCTTGTGCCTTGTAAATCAGACTAAGAACCAGGCAGGTGGCATGAAGGGCTAAAAGAAGTTACTGCAGACCAGGGAAGAAGTGGGGTTGAAGCTAGAGTCAGAGCTGGAGTCAGAGCTGGTGCCTGGGGGCAGCTCTGTGGGTGCAGGGTGAGGTGTTTGCCAGTCCCCTACACCGGGTCAGGTTTGTCACCCCTGTGTCATAAGTGGCTCTGTCCACATGCCCTGTCACCCATCCAGAGCCTTTAGGCCTGGCCTAGCCCCTAAAATGAAGTATAAGGAATACAAGCAGCAAAGCTGGGTTTGAGCAGTGCGACCTTGCAGAGGAAGGGGCTGCAGGAATCTCACCCCATCTGCAATTATGTATGTCTGTGCTTTGATCTAGGGGGGAAATTGCAGGTATTTCATAGGAAAAACACCTTTTTAGAGGAAATGGCAGCATGTATCCCTATGCCAATCCAGTAGGAATAGCTCTTTAACATAGGAGATGTTAAAACAAGCATTTTTGTACCTGTCTTGTCCTTTTGACACCAAGTTGTAAGAACACGGAATAAGGACAGGTATGTCTGCAGGCATGCGAAAGCGTACACGTTGGCTTCTTGTCTGCATTGCCCAAATGTAGCCAACAGACTAAGCAGCTCAGCAGCCCGGAGAGGATTAACACATCAGGAGCAAAATGTAATCAAAAAGTGTGTTTTCCCTCCTGTCCATGCTGCATGCCTGAGTACCAGGAGGGGGACAACACGCTAAAGGGACTGCATTGTACCCAGTGTCACACGGCATCGTTAAATATCAGATTAAATAGCAGATAATTTAGGTAAAGACCAACAGGCACAAGGACACGCAGAAGCGCTATCAGCCAGGACTCCAAGGATGACAGGTTGTTACCACAATTTCCTAAGAGGCTGCAGCTGTGAAACTCCCTTTGTCTTTTATTTCTCACCCTCCCACTCAGCAACCTTCAGAAACTGGAGTTTAAGTCTCTTTTAAGTTGATGTGCTACAAAGGAACCGAAAGAAAGACTCAAGGGGAAGATATTGGCTTTAGCTATTTGATCCAGCTTTTTACATTGCTATTCTATGCCCAATTCTGGGAAAAAGAAATCCCTTTATCCTCCGATTCCCCACCTAATAAAAACTAGGCTATTTTATCCAAATAGCAAAGCCACGTTGCTTAACGCCTGCATTGATTTCAGCCCCCGGAGAGTCAGATCTGAAAGATTTTCCCTGAAGGACAGTCAGAAAGGAGAGCAATTTCTGCTGCTCTACCTTTGTCACAAAATATTACTCTTCCCATCAAGAAAACAAATGTTGCAGCAGCATAAGGAGGGAAGGCAGCAACAACGGTGCAGGCAGCAGCCCTGCTCTGCCCCATCAGTGGCTCAGCGCCTTCCAGCACAATGTGAGACCAACAAAGGGTGCTGCAGCCCCAGCTCAGCTTTCAGTGGGGTTGTGCATTTTGCCTGCATGGGAAAGCATCAGGAGACGATGGCCCTTGCCACGGTCTCCAAGTTCCTGCAGGAACAGGGAAGAGTGGATTTATCAGGGCAGGTCTAGTATTAGCTACAACTTCCTCAGCAGGAAGATGCCTCCATTCCATTTCTTTTGACTCCAAGGAGGGAGACAAGAACAACAGCACTAGAGTGCCTGAGGTGATATACAGCACATCATACACAGGTATGGGGCATCTTCAAAACCCCATCTCCAGCAGGTCCTCCCGGGGAAGCAATAGCTGCTACCAACACTATGGAGACAGGGGAATCTGATCCCAGCCCTAGCTTTAACCCAGCCTGCCCCCATGGATAGAGATATGGGGCAGTGGACAAGCAGAACTTCCCACAACTCACACAAACAGAAACTCTTACAAGGTTTCAGGGTTCTACTGCCTCCACAGGGTCGATATTGTCAAAGGTGGGGAGAAGAAGAAGGAGGGTTATAAGCAGGTGAAACAGCATTAAAGATCTCTTTCTCTCAAGGAAAGCAGGCTTTACAAAATGCCACAGGAACTTGAGCACAAGCCAACACCTATTTAGTATCTCAGTTTTCCTGGAGATTTGCAGCAGGAGCATGGAAGTGTGGAGATCCCTCAATTTCCCTTTAAAATAGAACCTATCAGACAGGCAGGAAAGAGCACTTTGCATCTCTTCCGGGTATCCCCGTTACACAGAGAAAACAATTACTATATCAATGGAAAAATTAAAAGCTGCAATTTGTTTTTCCTTTACAGGTGTCAACTCCTGAGTAGAAGATTGCAGCTGGGGAAGCTGAGTTTTGGAATGCAAATGGAAAAGCACTTTCTGTAGATGTCCTACCAGTAATAAGCTGCGAAGAACACAATCCCTTCGGCTCCAGAAACCATGCAGATGAAGCCCAGCTGTCATTACACAGTTGGGTCCCGAGTAGCAGCAGGGAGAAAAAGAGTGGATTTCAAAGTAGTTTCAACAAGAAGATGAAGCTGTTCAATTCAGTCAGGAATTGATCTGGATAATTCACTGTGCAAATGAAATATTGCACCTGGGTTTTGTTTCTTTTCTTTCTAATATCTCTCTTTTTCTAAATACATATATATATTCCTAACATTTCCTCACATGCTGCTCTGCCTTGCTCTTTACTAAAAGAAAAAACAGATGCTGCAGAAGTGTTATCCAGCTTTGAACCCAAACATAAACTCTAAAACTATTCTTAACCTCATGCCTGCAGTCTCAAATACTCATAACATCAAATATGGCCAGATCTATTCTACCTGTTAAAGCCAACATACACTTCCAAGAGCAAGCCCTAGCCCAGACCACTGGTCTCCATGTATTCCAGATTAAGGTCAGGCTGATACCTTATCCCGAGCTCTGCCTTCACTCTCACAGCTCCAAATACCTGCAAAATGAAATGCATCACTGCCAATCTCCCATACAGGGAAGAAGGCTCTCTGCTAAGCAGGGCTTACCTGCTTCTAGTTTCCCCTCAATCTCCACTTAAATCTCACCCTGACCTTTGTTTCAGTACATCAAGGTTAACTGCAGTGTGCTCACACTGGCAAGCTAAATCCTTCTGAACCCTGCCTTGCACCAAGTTATCTTATGTGCTGACAACAGATGAAGCAGAAATAATGGATTTTCATTCTTTTTTGCAGCAGAGCATCCCTGAAGACCTTGCACAAGGCCTATGATGCCCAAGGAGATGATGTTGCGTTGCCATCCCCTGTTGCTATTACTTCTGCTTTAAAGACCCTGAGGTTTTCCCTAAACAGCGATGCAAAGATGAATTTACTGCTTCAAGAAGCAGAACTGGTGGTGCAGAAATCCACCAATTATGGGATTATGACTTGCTTTGGAGCTTTGCAGGCCAAGCCTTCCTCAAAGGCATTGATACTTAGGCCTTCTCTTTCATACTTTTGAATGGATTTATTTGGTGGTTTGGTTTTGGTTGGTTTTATTTGTAATTATGTGTTTCTTTATAAAAAGATCCTACAGTCCTGTCTCCTATTTTCTCATCTGAAAGTTTATTTAGAGGAATCATCTCCTTTTTGCCCTTAGTTAACCCCAAAGGAAGAAGATTCTGAGAATATTAAGAAAAACTTTGTCCAGTCAAACCCCTGACAACTGGTCGAACATAAAGCAAAATGCATCAGGCCTGGTTTGCAGCAATGTTTATGAGCTGGGTTT